GGCGCCTCCGTGCCGCACTGCGCCTGCGCGCCGCAGGGGGAGCTGGGAAATGTAGTCCCGCGGCCCCACCCCGCGAGGCTCGCCCGGGGGAGCGCGGTTTCCGAAACGGAGAGGGCTCAGCCCCGAGCTTCCGTGCTTCCAGAAGCAACGCCTGCACGAAGGACCGTGCACTCCAGCGGCTCCCGTGCTGCTGCCTTGCCGGATCAGGCGGCTGACAGTAAAATAATCTGGGATTTAGGCTTTTTTTGCAGGCTACCACCGGTTCTGCTGACCTACGTGCCAAAGCTGGTAAATGGGAAGGGAAACATCCATAAAGAGATGACTTGCTTACAGTAGTTCTTCCACCACGGCCTTGGCCTTGACATTATACAATCACAGTAGCAACAAACATTTTTCTTCCCTCTATAAAGCAAAGGAAAGGAAGATTTTCTAAACTTTTCAGTATATACCCAATAGCACACAATTGAGCAACATGTTGTTACAGCGTTACAAAAAAGCAAAGAGGTCCAGACTACACTGCAAATCATTTCTATATTGACTTTGCTGGCACAAATGAAAAATAAAGAACTAATCATTGGAATATCCAGGCATTTCTGAGCAACCATAAACTCCTTGACTACATTTGTATTTGAGCATAATAACTAAGAGCAACCGTGAAAAAACAACCCAAACCCTCATGTCAGTGGGCCTTTTCCTATTGTATATTAAAATGTACTGCAAAATTCACATGCACTTTCTGAACATAAGCAAAGGCTGGGGAGAAGCTGCAGAGCCAACAGACTGACAGCTTGACAGGTAACCTGCAGAGCTGCCCACACACCTTCTTAGCACAACTGAGAAGTTCCACTTCTTCAGGCAACACAAGAAATGCAAAAACGATCTGCAGGGCACTGATCAAGCAGAGCAAAAGCTCCTGCGACAGTCTGAGCCACAGCTGCTGTGCTTACACAGGTCATATGCCCATCTTCCCCTCTGTCCTTCAGCAAGACGTTCCAGAAATAACTGGCATATCGTTCTCCATTACTGGCTCCTTACGACATTACAGTCCATATCACAGGGGCACTTGAGCAGTTAGGAAAAAACCTAAAAAAAAAAAAAAAAAAAAGGCAAGTGCCACCCCCTCATTCAGCTGATAGATACATGGTCTTCAATCCTGGAAGCGACGTGATCATTCCTTTCCCCCTCCTCACTATCCATAATGCCACACGTGCCAAGTGACATGGCTCTTAGCTTGAAAGAGTAACGAATTCAGCCAGGCGTGCCAAGATTGAACTATGATGCTAAAGAGTCTGAGCCCTTCAGGCCAGAGCACACCTTTCCCCTCCCATAGCAATTTAATATCCTGTGAATTAGGTCAATCAGTTCTATTTTGGTCAGTTAACTGAAATAACAGACAGATGCTCAAGTGAAGAATTCAATGTATATTTATTATTCACAGTTAATTACTATCTACCAAATGCTGCTGCAGAGTTAAAGGATTAAGTACATAGGCCTTCTTTATTTAAACACTGATTTTTTTTTTTTTTTAATATATATACACACACAAGACATATGTCTGCAAGGCTGCATGATATACACCAATTCCAAAATAAGGAAACAATCAAATGGTCCAGGTGTAGAATGCCATAGATTCCTTTTCCAATCACTTTACAAAGAAGGAAGAAAGTGACAGCTAGCAAGGAGAGGGGGAGAAAGTAATACTCTACAGGATAGCTCTCTCTTTCGTCTGCTGGAAAATTAAAGTGTAAGGCAGAGTCCATCTCAGGAATAAAACATTTGTAACACTTATTACAAAAAAAGGCACCCTCCAACAAAAGATTGCCCCTGCTTAGTCTGGGTGGGAGGACATCTCCGCTGCAGTTTTTGGATTCGTTGGTGGGGTGAAGGGATCCAGCCAAATGGCCAGCAAAAGGAAAAATAATGTAACTGAAGATTGGCACAGAGAGTGGTGCGGCTTGATTGCTTTCCTTTCCGTCCAATTTAACGTCACACTGCTCTGGTGGAGGAGCAAATGGCCACAAAAAATGCCACTATCGTGTGGGGTGGGGATTACAGTCATCACACAGCCTGCTGTGAATGGGGAGCGGGGTGGGGGGAATCTACTTCAACAGTAACACTGACCTGAGGAGGGAGGAGAAACTGGAGAACAGTGATGCCAACCCCACTTTTCAAGATAACACGATTGCAAATACTCCCTATCCAGGCCAAAGAGACAGGCTGATTACATGCATCACATAGAAACATTCACTAATAGCATAAAGTTTTTTCAAGCACTATTTCTTGAGGTTTCTCTGCATTATAAAGTTTTCCGTCAAAGGAATGTACATTTTATAGGACATCTCAGGGCTATCATTTCTCAAATTCCCCCCTTAACCCTCCCTCCCCAAAATATTCTTCCTCATTTTCCCCAGTCATAATTTCCCCTTTTCTCTTACTTCTTTTGAGGCTCCTGGTTGCAGCTCCCACCTCTGAGCAGCCTAAGCTGCCACTTGAATGCCTTGATTTTATTTTCCTTGGAATAAGGGAAGTTGAACAGTAAGACAAATCTTAAGATTAAAGCTCCATCTCTGTTTGTAGATTTTTCTCAGATGTCTGTGGATAAAACCACCCTCCTTTACACCCTTCCCCCAGAAGTATTTATTTACACATAGGCAGAAAAAAACCCTCTGAAAAGCTCTGGACTGTCCTTTTAACTTAAAAAATAATAAAAAAGAAAATAAGGGAAAGGCACTATGGAAAAAATTACAGAATGTGCTCAACCGTACACCTTTAAGAAAAAACAAAAAAGCTGTCAGCACAGCATTAACAGACTTCAGTTGTAGGTTGGAGTTTTTCAAAGCAGCTCTGTGACTCAAAAGAAAAAAAAAAAAAAAAAAGGAAACAAAAAGCCACACAACTCTTCTCCCTTCCCCTGCCTGGAAGCTGTTGAGCTTCAGAAGAAAGTGCCAAAGGAGAAGAGACAATAAAAATTAGATTAACACCTCATCTTTCCCAGGCAAGAAGAGCTGAATGTTGAAGGCAAAAGCAGAGACTGATTTTTTTTTTTTTTTTTTTTAAAAAAGGCAGGACTGTGGATTTGGTTCTTCTCTCATGTCCCTTCATGTCAAATGAAGACCGTTTGCAGAGAGAGAAAATACCAGCAGAGTTTCTCCCTTTTCCTTTAACCGCATGGCTAGGACTTTATATGGCATTAAAACTTCATGCACTGATGGACAGAGGAGGAGAGGGAAACAGGAAGAGTGAATGAAAGGGGGTAACCCAGGAGCAGCTGAGGAAATTTGTTACTTTCTTTTTTTTCCTCTCTCTCTTTTTTTTTTTTTTTTTAAGATAAGTTTTGGTGTGTCCCCACCCCGCCCTTGAAGTTCCGTACTGAGTGAAGGAGGATCACCTCATGGTGAAAGGTGACTCAGGTTTTATCGCCGTGTGATTTTAGGTCACTGGCTGCAGTTAGGCTCTGTATGTGTATTTACTGTTTCTCTGGTTTCTTTAAATAATCTCTAATATTTATCTCTAGATGTTCCGGTTCACTGGGGTGACATAGTTGCGTGGAAACATGCCCGTCTGTCCGTGGCAGGCTCCCTTCCACCAGTTGGGGTCAGAATTGTCAAGGACTTGGATAAAGTCTCCGCGGCGGAAGCCCAGCTCTCCTTCCTCCTGGGGATCAAAATCAAACAGGGCCTGAACATATGTTGGTTGCTGAAAGGAGAAAGAAAAAGATACGCAAAGTGAGAATTATCCACAGCACTCGAGACATCTGCTCCCTCAGGCAGGAGCTTAACTTACACCAGAGTTTAACAATAAACATTCAGGTTGTTTCATTTCCCTGCAAGCCAGCTTTCAACATCTGTAACAAATGCTTGAATAGGAAAGCATAGTCTATAGAAGACTAAAAAAAAGCCAAGTTTCTGTGCAAGAGCCGTTATAAAGACAGCAGACGACTCAGATGTTTTCCAGTATTTTCCAGTATTCATCACGTACTGTAAATCTGTACTCTATTGCAATTCAATGGTCTTCTTGCTTATTCATCCTGTTTTCATCAACTGATAGCATGAATATTACTAATCTACCTAACACTGTGATACACAAAGTTCCCCCTAAAAACTGGATGTTGGCATTTCACGCATTTTCCTCAAAACTCTCCAGTACCAAGAAATTCTGACGCATTTTGCCTGGTCAGCAATTGCTTCCATTCTTATGGAAAAGCTAACAGTTAATTTAAAATGCATTTGCATTCTTAAAATCCTGAGGCTATGAAGGTATCTTCATTCTTGCCATTTTCAGCCTGCTGTTTTCTCATCTTCTGTTTATCACTGACCCGACAGTGCAGAGCCAGATGTTAATTCAGACAAACTGTGGCAAAGGGTGCCCGTGGCACCTGGAGAGCAGTACGAGCTCCACACCCCTTGGCTTCAAGCTAGAACTAGAGTGCTGCACACGGAGGCAAAAGGATTTATCCAAAATCGACAAAAGATCCAGTTACATCCACCATGACATTTTGATTGCCCTGGGAAATGGAAAAAACCAAAGAGCTAGATATACTCAAGCTGCTCTGCTGGCACTTGGCAGTAGATTTTGGTTTCTCTTAACACTGGCTAGATCCAAACCATCAGGGTAGAGATGTTCCATATGCTACTACCTGTAACCATCTCTTCAGGAAAGACCAGTACCAAAGCTTCATTGGCTATAGAGGGGTACAGTTCTGGCTATGAATCAGTACAAGTAGAACTATCCCTTCTTATTATGTCCTAAAACAGCAGTAAACCATTTTTAAATCACAGGAATCAGATGACCTTCCTGCAACAGTATCCATAAACATTAAGACAAGCCAAGTGTTCAAGCAGCAACAATAACACTTTGCCAGAACTGAAGAGGAGACTAGGAGTTAGCAGGTAGGCTTTGCACAAACATCCTGCTTGTTTCCCAGTGTAATTCCAGCTGTGGGATCTAAGGGTATGCTTCCACAGACAAGAAGAATGTCAGTCAGCTTCTCTCCATCCCTACTCATTTACTCTAAGATGCAATCACACTTCAGACTGTGGTTTCAATAGTCTGAAAAATGCACCTATGAGAACACTTCTCTTACCTGTGGCACCTGTTCAATGTCCCGGAGAAATATTTGCTGGTTCCTGGAGACAGATGTGGATCTGTGATAATCTACCAGCTCGTTCAAAGAATTGAACTTCACCACCCAGAGGAAATACTTGCCAGCCCCATCTCTAAGCACCTTGAAGTGCTGCACATCATTTCCAAACCTGTGCAGAAAGAATGAAGAACACAAAAAAAAGCACATTATTAGTCACCGAGTACTCCTCTTTTGGGATCGTCAGCACAGAGTTTGGAACAAAAAGGTCTTTCAGGGCACAGTGAAAACTGCCAATGACACTGATGATATACATACTAACTGGTTGGTGTAAAAAAGGTGTCTGAAAACCACTTGTCAATTGTATTTTATAGAAATCAGTGATCAGAGAAATAGAATCCAAATACTGAATTTATTTAAAAAAAAAAATCCTGCATGCTTCACGTGTGCTTTTCTTGTAATAGGACTTCAGTTTAAAATCAGCTTTTCAAACCACTCTGAATTTGCAGAAGTTTGAGGTCTTTTTGTAAAGAATTTCTGGTGTTACAACACTCTCTATCCTGGGTAACATGCAGTATTTCAGCTTTTTATTTTACACTACATTGCCACATAGCTGGCATCCACTACATGCACTTTTTGATGTATGTATACAGTCACCTGAGTCACTGAAGACAGTGCACAGAATACCTCGGACACATACCATGGACTTTGCAGTACAAGTGCAAGGTCACATTCAACTAGCTACACCATGGTGCCTTCCACTCCACATTCCCAAATACAAGATTTCAAAGTCAAACAGTATAAGCGCTTCAGTTTAGCTCTTCACACACAGCAATTTCACAACTGACTTGAGCCAGTTTAGGTTTGTGCTACTCTTGCTATGGTCCTGTACTTCTCACCGTCTCAGTCCCTCCCTCACACAGCACCACTGGGTGTGTGTGATATTGCAATACATAAGCACCAGTCCCTTTATAGGTAAATTGCTGGGAAAACACTGCCACAGGGAGGGTAGGATTGTCTCTTTTGGGAGCCAGTCTCGACTTATGCAAAAGACTGTCTTGCAAAACAAAAGGATCTCTCTAGTACTTCAAAAACAAAGAACAGAAAATGCTCGAAAGGTGACGCAGCAACTCCAATTCTGTGTTAACAATTCTTTCTGACAAATGATGGCATTCAGTTGAAGCTTCTTTTCCACCAATTTTACTCTGAATAAAGGGGAACTCCAAAGAGTCCATCGGGATTTTCCAGACGAATGGCACATCAGTATTTTTGCTTCAGTCTAAAACACTGAAAACAGGAGACAACTGCTCCCCACTTGGCATGCACAGCTTCTGTACATTGGCTGAAAACGTAGACACTATCTTGGCTACAAAGCCAACATGAAACAACTCATGAGTACTGCCTCTGCTCTCCCTTCCTCAACCTGAGAGCTTCTCACCATTTCAAATCCTGCAGATCACTGTTCATTACCACCAGATGGCAACACTAAGCTAACAGGCAGGCAAAGCTATGCCACTATAACTTTATGTTTCTTAAAGGAATGCACTTTCTGGAATGAAACTTCATTCATATCTAGTAATCCAGCTAAGATGATTGTATCCAAGACAGAAATATAAACATCTCTTAAAATCAGTGGCTTTAATCCAGTTTGTTGGCATGAGTCAGTGCTGCTACACACGAGGACAAAAATTTGGTTACATACCAAAGATGACCAGAAAAAAAAAATCCTGCCGAGACAGATCACTGATAGCCACAGAAAATAGAGCAAACTAGGAATCGTGCATGAATAATTAAAAATTAGTGTTAGGATTCTAAAGAAAATCTGGTCCATTTCTGGTAGGAAAGGGGAAGATTACAGAAAACAAAGAAAAAGGCAAAAATCAATGCTGAGGACAGAATCCCTTCCACCCCCAACTCATGTTAAGTTATATCACATACACTTGCAAGTTACTAATACCTCTATTTTACAGTGAATTCAGATGGGCAAGATAGGTAGCATGGTATTTATGGGCCATTGCTAGCTAGCAGGAACTCCTGCTGATTAACAGCCAGTACTTCTAGTAAGGTTATTCAAGGATGAGAACTGCTCCTCCTCACTTCACTGTTTTTAGACTGAGTTTCTCTACCAACATGGAATGCAGTTGTGAGAGATGGAGGCCTCTGCATTCACAGTTCCATGTCCCAGTGCTAAACAACATGAATATCCCCAAAGCATGCGCCAAGCAGACACGAAAAACATATTTGGAAGTGTACTACACAAGGAGAACAGATAAGAGTAATAACTTATACTGTAGAAGAGGAATGAAGGAGGATGGGAGAGAACATGTACACACTGGGCACTTTGTGGCTGTAAGGAGGAGGAATGGGATCCACAAACAAACCAACAGATAGTGCCTGAGACTACATGAGCCAGACAGCAACATGCCACCAGGTCAGCCTTGCAGGCTCATTACAAACCAGAACATATATATTTGTTCTATTAAAGAGGGAATAAATAAGTATCACTGGAAGAACAGGAATGCTACAGGGCATCTGGAATGTTCCTGCTCCTCAGCATTGACAATCACCTGTCCTTTACCCACGAGTCCAAATGAGCAGTAGATGGCTTGATTGCCACACATGATTGCTTCTTGGCATTACTTACTTGACTGAAAGGGAGAAGTCCCCAGGAGCACTCTCACTCTCCCTGATGAGGAAGGCACCATCATGTCTCTGTTTGCCTAACATCTCTTCAGCCTTCGCTCGGGGAATCTTTCCAAAAAACCACCTGCGGAGTGCAGAAAAGAAAACAATAGGGAAAGTTAAGAATTTTAATCCTTTCATGGAAGAGACAGATGTAGATATTCACACACAGACAAAATGATTCCTAACAGAAATAACTACAGTGCACCTCACTGCCACTCCAATACAGGCTACTCAACCATGCAGTTTTTCACAATGTTTCATCCTGGCAATGAAGCAACCATGACTTGATAAGCAAGTGCTTGCAATAGCCCTGTTTCACCTAATTTAGCAAAGCAAAGATATAGTAAGAGTGAAATCCTCAAATTATAGGATTTATTTTCAGAGGTCGAAAAAGCCTGCTCAAAATTTAATGCATCAATCACATTGTTTTGCACCCTATTGTATCTGCAGTTTAGCATATAAAACATCACAATGAGAACCTAACATACACAATTGCTTCACGGCAAAGTCCTGCTTTGTGAGACTGAGACGACTATCCTGGGAACTGGCTACAACCTTGGACAAAGTTAAAATGTCTACTGTGGTCTGCACTGATATCTTAGTAATCAGGCCTCATAACCTAAAGTCAAACAGATTAAATGTCTAGCTCAAGCAAGAAACTCAAGTCCCTTCCTCTATCATTAAGGAATAAAGTCTCATGTCTCTACATGCAAAGTTTTAGTTGTCCAAACGGTATGATGCCATCAACTCGGAGACAACAAAGTAGTCCTGCGCTAGTGGCTGGTCACTATTGAACTTCCCTATGATATAGCAGCATTTATTTCACTATTAGTATCCAAAGATAATCAGTGGGGAGTAATTACACAGTCTCCTTTATTACTTATGCCTCCTAAGGAGAAGCCAGCCATGCCTTAGTCATGATTTGCAGAGCAGACAATAGAGAAAATTTAAGTTATCAAGGATTAAGCACAGAAACATCACTATTTTAGTGGGTAGGAATCTCTAAAAAAAATGTAGTATTTGCAAAATGCAAGGGAAACACTGGGAGTTCACTCACAGGTTTCTCTTCAGAAACATCACAGCTCTAGAAACACGATCCTGTCTATGGACTGACCCATCCTGCACAAGTAGAATGTGTATTTGAAAGAAACCAATTTCTAGTCTCTTTTAGATCAGGTAGTAAGACACAGTTGCTTCAGCAGAGAGAATCAGTAGCTTCATTCAGCAGCTGGCTGTCCTGCAGCCCAGAGTCCAACCTTTCTGACCCCTTCCAGAGCACTGTGGTCAAAGACAGGTATCATGTCAGAAAGCTAAGGCAGGTGCCAGGAGTGGAGTTACATGCAGACCAAGTGAGAAAAGTTCCCTCAAGGTCTCCCTGTGTCATTGCAGAAGAATGCTGAGCTGGACATGCAATTCGGTTCTAGGAAAGATGCTGATAATACTTGTTTCAGTAGCCTATTTTCTTGCTTTCTCCTACAGTCAGGAGAATCTAGCAGCTTTCACATAAGCAGTCACATGAAATAGCTGCACAATCAGGCCACATCTGAAATTCTTGACAGCTGCACAGAAGTCAAAGCCACAGGCTGACCACCTCCATGACACCAAGGGTGAACCTACCTCAGGCAACCAGATCATCAGCACTGACCAACAGTTCCTAGTCACGGGATTCTTACCCACATTTACATTTGCATTTCCAGACTAACCCAAGATTAAAGACAAACAAGGCTGAGTGGTAGATCACGTGGCGTGGGAAAAGCAGAACCATCCTCACAACCAGAAAGTACAGCTTTCAGTTCTGAGTAACAGATCACACAAGACAGAAGCACTTACCACAGCCTATAACCATGCAGATGATTGACCTTACAGGAGAGCATTTAATAACAAGAGCTCCACTCACAAAGTTTACTTTCCACAGTGAAGATTTTGGTGCAGCAAAAAGACAAAAGTTGTAGAACCCTTCCTGAAACAGAGTCGTTCTTAAGAGAAGTTGAAGCTTTCATGAAATCACAAAGTCACAAGGTCTCCCTCTCTAAGAAGCAGCTATCTCTAGAGGTGAAGGAGAACCCAATCACTTGATTACAGACTCTCCAGCTACTGACAAGCCCTCGCCCCTCTCAGCAGCTGTTTTCAGTATCTGCTCACCACAGGAGGCTGCACAAAAATACATCCGTTTATTATATCAAGGATGATGCATCCACAGATGTATTTCTACTATATGCAACACATTCAATAAAACAACTCTAGGACATCCCCCTTGTAAAAGGAGCATTCACTCCATTTAGCTATGCAGCTCCATTATGAAAAGCATTTTGGCACTGAAAATGATACATCTTGTTTACAAACTCGGTTTCCATGATCACCTAGACATGTTTTACTTGCTTGCAAGTCTTCTTGCATACTTTTTATCCCCTGGAATGGAAAGGAAAAGCTTTCTCCCACAACCATCCTATTTCCAGCGATAAAGAACTTAATGGCATTTACTACTTTTCTGGTGGTTTAGCATCTGCGTTGCTTCTCAGTATCCAAGGTGGTGGCAGAGACAGCAGAGGGAGCATCTGCCTGTCTCTCACTGCACTCTGCTGCCTTCAAAAATCAAGAAACCATTATGTGAAACTCCTTCAGAATTCAAAGGTAGTATTTTGTTTCCTGGGCTTTTGGCACAATTGTCAGAAAAGTAAGGAAGTCTTGAATTTTGCCTCTGCCAAATGTTACGTAAAGCAAACTTTATATTATGATTTTAGATATCTTGCCATAGTTCTTGTTTACAAAATGTTTTAACTCTGGTTAGTTCTCAAATAATTCTCAATTACTCGCATGTGACTTGGAAATGAAAGCCTCATCTTAAAAAAAGAAAACAAAACACCTCACCTATCTCTGTAAAATAGAAGGAAAGCCTGAAAGAGCTCAACTGAACTTCTATAATCCTTCCTGAAGCCTCACAAGCATACCCTATTTTCCCCCTAAATTTTACTGAATCACTACAAAGTAGAAGTGTACAATTTGATTAAAGGAAGTAACACTTCCAAAGTAACAATACCAAATTCTTACAGTTTTCTACCAGCTGTTTCTAAGGCACTTTAAATAGACTAAAAATCTTTCACAATTCTTGAACTCCCTTGCAGCTTTATGACTCCGCTACCACTTCAGCCATTCAGAGTAAACAGAGCTTGAATTTTAAATATAAAAAAGATGAAAAGCAAACCCCATAGATGAAAGCAACAAAGTAAGTTATTTTGAAGGACTAGTGTATACTTAAGAACACACTTGTAAAGCATCAGAAGTGTTGTGCACATACGAATCTTTGCTATGGAATGATTGAAAAATTAACAAAAGTCACAGTATGTCCAAGAATATTAGGCCAAGGAAACTGAACACAACATTCCCACAGCTTCCCTGGTGAAGCGCTAACCTTGATAACACTTGTCTCCAACTAGCTTTGTAATGTAGGTAAAACTCATCCAGTCAGCACTGCAAAACCAAATCCAGGCATTACTGCTGATGCTGCACAGCTAGAGGGAGATGCACTGATTGGTACAACACAAAGTTCACATCGCATTCAGGCTCATTTCAATCGGCAGTTTGGCAATTCTTTTGGCTTTACTTCGCACAACCATCTAGCTTGGCCGATTTCCTCCACCTAAGTTAAATACTGCAAAGTGAGACTTCAGGAATACCTTCAAGAAAACCTGATTACAAACACCAGTGCTTGAGACACACACACCATGAGTCTGATCCAGGCCATGTCATAAACACCAAATTCTTCCCCTGCCTGCTTAAAGAGAGGAAGGTAATCCTGCTGCTGAACTGCACTGTTGTGCCTTCACAGGAAGCCTCCCTGCCCAGAGTTTCCTGCAGCTCTTCTATGAGTATCATGCCTATGTCTACTCACATCTTTGCTTTGTTAATTGATGTGGCAATTCAGATTAACCCTTCAGAACCCAGGTGACTCAGCTGGTGACCGAGAGGCGCCATATTTTCCTTTCAGCTTCATTTGCTAGTAGTTACAAAGCAAACTGGAAGATTTACAAAATACAAGCGAGAAAAACCACTGCAGTTAAGACTAGCTATTACTAGTATATATACTAGGGCTGGAGTATTTAAGTCTCAGATCCTAGGACAGGATTTAAAGCCATTTTCAGTTGCTTTCTTTCCAAATCCTCTTGAAAAGCTCTCGTGCCGCCTTCCCACAACACGGTTTGATACCAGTCTGAGAAAAGGAACATTCTCTTTCTAACACCTAGCCAGCTGCCTGCAATTTGCTTTTTGTATGACCTGCTGGACTACTTGGAGAGCTCTGCATTACAGCTAAGCTAACATTACACTATAAAAACTTTTGCATAATTTCCCAGCGTTGTTACTGCACTAGTTAAGACTCCCAGCATTGCTGACACATGGAACTAACTCCATCCAACTGCCATCAGCAGTTTAAATATCTTCAGAAAAGGTCAAATTAACCATGCTTATAAAACACTACCAAATTCACCCACTTGCAGGCTCAGATATTGTTCATTCCCCTTTGATATCAAAAAGTGATAAACTGACAGTTCTATCCCTCTAAAACAAAATACCATGGATGATTACAGAACTGATCATCATCATCGCAGGAGACATCACCGCAGTATAACTCAAATGCCTGCAAAACTGTTACAACAAGAAGACGTGTGATGATTCAAATCAATGAGAGAGAGAAATTGCAATGTACATTTGTGATCCCCAGTGGACTAGCACGTTCAGGGTAACCTAGATATGTTACTGCAGCAGACAAGGCTTTAAACAATTTCAGAATTTTCTTGTGCATCCTTGCTTCACTTCCCACACATGGCTGCACTAAAGCAGTATATCTCCTCTCCTTCTTGGGACACAGTCCCTCAAAAGCTTCCTTCTGCTGTTTCAAAAGAGCCCTTAGAAAAAGAATTGATTGCATTTAACTGCCATATCTTAATGATATAATTACAGCCAACAATTAACAAATCGATCATCAGTTTTTGTGGGCAACTGAACCACTACAGCTCCTTGTAAAAACCCCGATTACAGGTTTTGCTGCTGCTTCCTAAACGTTTTCTCCCCTTTGAATCTGTTACCCAGAGCTTGCTGTTTTCCTGTTCAGATGTTGAAAGATCTCAAAGGTTGGCAGAACCGGAGTTTAGTAGAAGACAGTGGAAATACATGAACTGATACAAAGAAAAACCCAGTCAAGAAATGCTACTGTTTTCATATAGTTGATTTTTTATTCTAAGAGGAAACGTTCAAAGTAGTTACTCAAATACAGTTCTCCAAAGCTACAAATCAATGCAACCATACTTGCGTAACAGTACATACTCTTTGAGGTTGGCCTGTTTTGCAGGGAAGGTGTTGGAGCAGGTGAATGTTAGCGGTCCTGTCCAACCTAAATTATTGTGTCACTTTATACTCAGGATGTGACATAGACATACTAAGAGTTCAGCTCCAAATATCCTTAAATATTTTTCTGGTGAGCTCTGAATGCCACAACTTTTACTCTTATCTGCTACAGTAAGTAAAATAGAGAATCATCACACGAATGATGATCACAGTCGCTCTTTTTCCTGGGGCAGTGGTAGTGACAACTCTCTACTAAAGTGTTTTCTTGTGGTTTAGGCCTGCTACCCCCAAGGTCAGTGTGTCTGACCCCACAGCAAAACACCAGAGCAATCACCAGAAAAATTTCCAAAATATCCTGCTATATAGCCAGCTGTGAAATGAGTTAGAGTGCAGAACACTGCAAGTTGCAGCCAGAGATACAACTCAATAGCCGTCCCTTATCTATCCATACATTTTGGTAGATCTGGTGAGGTACACTTTGTATAGTACAGCAAACCTCCCTTCTGTTTGAGAGGATGCGCAAAGTAAGATCAAGTGAGTCTATCACCAAAGCTCTACTTACGGATGTGGTTTCATTTCTATGTAGTTCTTGGGAATGAAGCCGTCTTTTCCATTGAGTTCTGCCTTGTACCAATTCTGATCACATTCTTCATTCAAAACCTGAAGGAAAAACAAAAAAAAAAAGCTTACCACATTTCAAGATACAGCAAAACTGATGAAGGTACTAGCTTATTCTTCCCATTCTAGCTTCAAAGACTGCTCTTGTAAGATGAACCTAAAAAAATGGTACTAGTCATCGTGCTCCACTGCATCTCATGAGCTTTCAGAACTGTGGTGAACAAAAAGCTGGATGAGTAATTTAAAACACCCAAAGGATTTTAGTGCCAAAACACCATGCTTTAGTAAGAAAGTTACTGTAAGTCCACAGGTACTTTTAACTAACATAACTAGACTGAGATCTGTGCCAAAGATTAAGTTGGCTGCCATCACCAAACAATTTTGTCCAAAATCTGCAAGCCAAGAATTTCTGATTCTTTATCACTTCTAATGATCACTTTTTCCTGAATTCAGCTGACAAACCTGATGTTTTCAGCATAAATGTGATTTCATCCAGCTTTTCTGCATTTGCACTGGTTGCACACTGGATATGTTAAAGATTCTAGGCAACATCTATATTATAGAGAATTAAAATAAAAAAACCCCACCTCCCTCATGACAACATTAACACAGGCCCAGCTGCACATACAACTAGCAGCTTCAGCTGGTTTTGCCGATACAAGTTAAAACCAGGTTAAATCGGATGGCAGAAACAGTGACTTCCCTGCTGAGCATTTTTTATGTTAATAAAGCAAGTTAAACACATACAAACAGCAAATGTAGATGAACAAAGTTTCTTCTCTCTCTCTTTTTTTTTTTTTTTTTTTAAGGGATACTTTTCTTACTATAACTTTATTCTAAAATGAATGACAGATCAGGAGTCACAATAGAGGAGCCACAAGAATAGGTAGCTTTAAAAAGCACAAATTGATACTTCAAAGCATACTTGCTCTAAAAACTTCGGTACTTTATTTTTCATTGAATTTCTGTCAACTGGTACAGTGCAATAGGCAAGCTTGGTACGCTGACTGAAAGCAGTCTCTCGAATAAAGTAGTATTACGTTCTGTAAATACAGCCATGCTATAGTTTGAAACTACCTCTCCTCAAAAAGATTTTATTTGGTGCTGGCAGTAAACATGACACAGAACCTGCCCCCCCCTTTAAAATTAAGCACCACAACAACACTTTTCCCTGAGCACTTTCATTCCTTCTCAGCTTTCTGAGGTTCTTTTTTAACTTTGTGACAATGGCCAACAAAAAGCTGGATCTGAGTTTTAAAAAAAAAAAAGAGATATATTTAAAGCCTCAAGTCACAAAAGTGTCACATGATTAGCATTGCCTGAATGCGGGAAGACGAGGAAATGCAAAGAGAAAGACAACATGAATGCAGATCCAGAGATCACATACTACATACACACGCAGTTATGGTGGAGATATAAAAAAAAAAAAATCCAAACCCCCAAAATCTTCAGAAGCAATTATTGCCATTTCTGACTTTTTTTTTTTTTTTTTTTCTATCTCACTATGTTTCTTTTTTGGAAGGGTGATGAGAGGAAATTAAAAAAAAAAAAAAAGGAAAAGCTGACAAGAATTTGCAAGTGTAGGCCTTAAAATTCTTATAGCTGATAGGAGCGCTTCAGAAAATTAAACTCTAAAGATCAATGCCTTTCAAAAATATGTGACATATCAACACTCTAATCTGCCTCATTGCTGACTGCTACATATAAAAGAGAAAACCCTCAACACCTACTGAAATGAAATCCGGTAAAGCAAAAAGAGAACAGAATCTGAATCTCCTCAGTGAATTACAGTGGGTAATAGTTACCTTCCTGTTCCTTAACTTCCAACCAAAGAGGCTAATGGTAGGATTTACATCCCCCAGGTGCTAGCACCTCCACTGGGGAACTAGCACAGTAGCAGGGCCACATCTACAGAACTTCACGTCTGTAGCAAAGATATGCACCTTTATGGCCCATTTCAGGATATCTTCAGTTGAAGAGACTTTAATACTTAAAAGATCCTAAGTACTTTTATATGGATAAAAATATTTAAGCTATCTTTTGTGCAATTACTACTGTGGACTTCCATTTATTTATTTACAAGCATTGTTATAGCATGCATTACAATTCAATCATTTAGCAAGGATAATCTGACTACAGGTCATGAGCAGTTCAAGTGTGGCTCTGTTACAGTCTCTGAGGTAAAAGCTTGCACATGGAGAGTTGACACAAATCAGCTGATGTCTGCTGAATTGCCTTTAAGCAAGAGAATGGTGCTCATCTCTCACAACTACTGTACTAACTGCGAGACAGCATTCTGTGCAGAAACTGATTCAACTCCAGAATATGAAATACAAGTAGATGACACCAGCAGGCAGCTCTGGGATACTGAGCAGGGAAGATGGAGATTAAAAACAGGTATGTAAAAAAGTGAATTGCATAGAGACTAGGCAGACAGAGGGCACAGGTTGAAGCCCAGATCTACAACTCAAGTCACGCAAAGATTTTGACACATAGCTTGCATGACCAGGAAGTTTGATTGTTATATACCTCAGCCACCATCACTAGAGTAATTTACAATACAACAACACACAAACGTGACACATTTTGATGTGATTTCTAATAAGCCAAATCTTATGCAATAGCATGCATTCCTTTATCTCATCTTTGATGAGATTGTGTACTACAAACTCATTTCATTACCAGAGAGCAGTTAAGGGATATGGCAGTCTGTTCTTTTTCCAAGAATAAAAAAAACAGGTAAACTGTAGCTTCGTATGAAGGGCATTACCACATATTTGCGCTTTTGGCAGTAGGTATTAAAAATTATCAGAAGTTCTAATGCCCAAATGTAAATTATTTTAATGAGTTTTATCTTGCTCTGAAGATATGCTAATAGATTTGGAGGAGCCAAATCACATAGTGCTTGGGGTACTCATTAATGCTTGGCCTGAAGCCAAATGCCAGTGAGGGAGCATTGCCGAGGCATGCATTAAGCTTTGTGACCAGAAAAAAATAGCTGGATAAAAGGTATAGTAAGGTGAACTGCCTACATATATGCATATACAACCTCTTCAAGGGACTTCTGCTGTAATAATGGATCCTCCACAGCTCCCCCCCTTCAGTGGCTTTGTTTGCTTCAAGGACTTTTTCCTGCTTCACACCCAGACTGACGTATCTTCATAGCTGGTTGTCCTTTCTAGGATCATTTTAACTAGCTGTCACAGCTCCATTCACAAGCTGGCAGACAGCCAAACTATCCATGTCCTATATTATATACCAGAGAGCTTATATACACACAGTCACCCTGTAAACACCCCTGTTTTCCCCTTTCTGGGTCTTTCAGTGTGCACTCTTCCACAGGCAATAGAATGTACTATTTTCTTTACAAAGCTCCCTGTTCATGTATCATTTCAAGAGGAGTCACCTCCACAACACAGATATCTACAAAATCATTTTTTTCTGACAGTGTCTCAAATAGACACCGCTGGAGCTGCTCCCAATGCTTAGTCAAGCAAAAATGACTTGCACTGAAGTACCTTAAATTCAGGACAACTTTGCAGTCACATGCACAAGGCTGGAATTCTGGTGGCTGCTATGAAGTTATGTAGCTATTACTATGACAACTGCAGAATAGTCATGTAAAATTTCACCTTTCAAAAAAACTTATGCCACTAACTCCATTAGTGAAATACAACTAAAAAGTAAGTCAGGAATACACGTAAGAACTCTCTGTGCTGGTGTATCCGGCTTAGACATTTACATCTGACGTTGCTCTCTTTTCTTTTAAATTGTAAACCCACTGAAATGAAAGAACTGACTTTAAGTAATTAAACCATTTTGCTGCAAAACATTTTAAGAAAAGCATCCAGTAAATCCATCTATCCTATACCTCCAACTGGCCTCCAAGTGATTTCCAGATAATAATTAAAATTTATCATCTGGATACTTAAAAGCCAGTGCTACACCCCTAAGAAAAATAGATTCTTAATGGAACTATGGTAAGATTTTTCCCAGACTTACCGAAGCTATAAAATTTAGTTTAAGTACTGCATGTATCACTGGATTTTGCTTTGAAAATTTCCCCAAGTACAAATAAATACAGATAAATTAAGCAACAAAATGAAACTTAAAGATTCCCTGCTCCAAACTGAGACAGATTCACTGCTCCAAACTGAAACAGCCTTCAGAGTCTGCAAAAAATCTAAAAGGCACAAACACTTATTTATCTCAACAACTGTTAAAAACTGCTGCTCTTTGTATAGGTCAAAACATAAAGCATTCCTTTGCGGCCAATACCCTTGTCTGCTATAGATCTAATCAAGTCTATGCCAGAGTGACTCTTCCTTTCACACTGGGGCATCTGTGCCTGAGAGGAGGAAGAAGGAAGGATATTTTTAGCCACTACATTTGAACACATACTGCCATGTGATGTCCTCAGTCTGTAGTCAGCCCTGTTTTACAGTAATAGTGGCTCAACTGCTGCCCGTCAGTTTCCTAGTTTGATAACAGATCTCTTATCAACAAAAGCCCATCTGTTCCCATGGAAATGGAGAAGAGGCACTGCTGAAGAGCCACACAAGGCAGTTCCAAAGTTTTAGCTAGAACAGTTCACACACAACAAGCATCCCCAGCCATTTTCCAATTCCATATCTAGCGATTATTTCTAAGCACAGCTTTTCCACCCTTGTGAATTGTTGCACACCAGCCTTGATCCTCTCAAAACCAAACAACTTTCAGGAACACGCAGACACTAAACTTGGAACATAACAAGCAGGTCTTGCATCTCAACTTGCAAGCTGACTCCCATATGCAGACATGAAACTAAACATAAGGCCTCAAATGCACTTATGTGCTTCCGAATTTAGCCAAATTCATCAGAATGCTTGGGTTTTGGAGAGACAAAACCCAAAAAACTTCTTCAGAGAGGGCTCTGAGTTTTGGCTGAAACTTCTCTTTTCCCTGAACTGTAAGGTTTCAGGATTCTTGCTGTGCTAACTGAAACAGAAGGTAACATAACTGCTCAAGTACAACCTGTTAGCTGCCAATGTGGTTTTTCTCCT